CCCTCCTCATGACCAAATGGGATGTTGGACACAATTCCCACTCGGTGTGCTTTTTGAATTAGCTAGCAATGGTCATGAAGGTTTTATATTAACTGTTATGCAAAGCTTTAAATATTAAGGAAAGATCTAGGGCAATAAGCAAAGGAGCCAGGGGAAATAACCAAAATTAAAGATGTTGAAGTTGGAAGTTAGCAATGACCTAAGCCTTTTTCTTCTTTCTTTCTTAATTATGACTCCTCTACTTCCTGTGGGAAAAGAGGAAATCTTAATACATGAAGTTTTGGCAAAGTTAGTGATCTTAGTGCCAAAATACAGTCTCCTTCCACTTTGTCCCTGGTCAAGGTATGAACATGATAAACCTTGGATGCCTATGGCCTCCTGGGTGTGACCTATTTTTTTTTTAACTTTCTTTCTCTGTGTTTCTTCTCCCATCTCATTATAAAAAATTAAAACCAACCAACTCAGCTAGGCATAGAACTGCCCTAGATAGTGCTTGAGAAGGAATTTCAGAAAGTGTAACACATGATACATGACATGATAGTGAGAAAGCACCACAGGGTGGAAAGAACATGGTCTTCTGAGTCAGCTGAACTTGAGTTTCAACTTCTGCTCTTGCTATTTGCTGACTGTGACCATTGGGAAGTTCCTTAACCTTCTCAGCATGCAGCTTTTTGTTTTTTTTTTTAACCGAGAGAGAATAGTATTGCCTACCAGGTCAGTGAGATAATTAAATGAGATGATGAGTGTAAAATGTCCAGCACATGGTATGCGCGGAATGAATAGTGATTACTTTTATTAACTAATTTAAAAGTTATTAGTAAACTGCAGTTCTCTGGACAATGAAACTTCCTAAGAAGAAAGCCCTGATAGCAGCATCATGTAGGCCATTATGTCAGGTCTCTGAAGGATGTGGAACACCAGCAACTCTCATTCTTACTGGTGAGAACAAGAAGACTGGCAGTTTCCTACAAAATTAAACACACTATTACCATACAACTCAGAAACTGCCTTCCTTGGTGTTTACCAAATGAGATAAAACTTATGTGCACACAAAAATCTGCACATGGGGGTAACTTTATTCATAATTGCCAAACTTGTTCTTCCTTAGGTGGATGGACAAATAATTTGTGGTACATTGAGGCAATGGAGTATGACTTAGCACTAAAAAGAAATGAGTTATAAAGCCATGAAAGAAAATGGAGAAATGTATATTACTAAGTGAAAGAAGCCAATATGAAGAGTCTTCATACTGCATAATTCCAACCATATGACATTTTGGAAAAAAAAAAACTATGGACAGTAAAAAAAATGAGTGATAGCTAGGAGATGCAGTGGGGAGGGATGGATAGGCCAAATGTAGAGGACTTTAAGGTCAGTGAGACATTATTTTTGATAAACAAAAGAACTATATGACCAAAAGGATAGACCAAAGTATAAATTTAGTTACTAATAATGTTGTATGTTGCTTCAGTAGTTGTAAAAGATCTACCATTAGATTTCCTGTTAATAATCAGAAAAAAAAATACATGCAGAACAAGAGACCTTGTGGGGAATTTCTGTACATTCTGCTCAATATTTCTGCAGATCTAAAACTACTGTAAAATAGTTTGTTCATTTCAAAATACTTTAATGGCATACCATAATACTTTATTCAACCAATTTATTAAATGAAGTGACGATTACAAGTAATCACATGCATGCTACATGAATTTAAATTTAAATTCAGTTTTGTTCCAGAATATGCCTATATACAGAGATATTGACTATTTTACTCACCACATCATGGTCTACTCCATTTGGTTAATGGGTAGTTGGTAGTTGGTGTTCTGTGATGTTTATAATCTGTGTGTGCAAATGTCTGGTCAGTAGAGAACAAGAGTAGAGAGAGTATACTGCCCTTTAGGAAATGTGTTCTTGTTCCTACAGAGTAGTCATTGCTGGTGAGGAGCATCTTAGGGCATATTCCTAGAATTCCTTGTGCATCAATGAAAACTGAGCAGAAATTATGTGACTCCCTTCCAGGTCATGACGTCTCAGAGGCCTGACTTTCTTCTTGGACCATCTGGGAGAAATAGTTGATTGCAGAGCCCAACTTGCTCTGGGAAGCATCACCCAGATTCAACAGTTCCTTGAACAAGTGTCTAGTTTGTGCAGCTGTGGTAAAATCACCACAGACTTAGTGGCATAAAACAATATCATTTATTACCTCAGTTCCTGGGCTAGATGTGTGGTCACAGTGTGACTTGACTCAACTCACAAGGCTAAGGTCAAAGTCTCAGGCAGGGTAACTCCTGGAGGCTCCAGGGAAGCTCACTTCTAGTACAAACAGGGAGTTGACTGAATTCCCTTGGGGGGCTATAAGACAGAGACCTCATGTCCTTGCTGTCAGTCAAAGGCCAGTCTTGGCACCCAAAGGCTGCCCAAATAAATTTCCTTCTCATGAATTCCTTGTCACCCACTCATCTTGGAATCTCCTAGAGAGAAAAGGTTCCATGAGTTTAAGTGTTATTAAATCATCCCAAATAATCCAGGATATCTCCCCTTTCTAGGGTCAGTAACCTTAAACACATCTGCAGTGGAACATCTTTGGGGGATTGTTTTGCCCATGTGCCACGTACTATAAACCACTGAAGTTTGGGCTTATTTGTTAAAGCATCTATCATTGCTTGAGTATGATCACTTTTACTTTCTCTGGCCTGATTCATCTCTCTTGGCCTGCTTCTTTTCCCAGTAGCAGCGCTTTCTGATGGAAGTAGAGGAAAGGTCTGGGAGCATGAGAGACTTGGGTCGCTATCTGTTTGGAGTCTTAGTGCATATTTGTGAATGTTAAAACCTTCCGAATCTCATCTGTACATTGTGAGTACTGGCAATGTTGTCTCACAGTTGTTTAGAAAGGTGATTGCAGAAACTCTATTCTTGGCACATGTTTATTCAATGAATGCCAACTGGACAGCATCCATCTCTGATCCGATGCTGGCTTTGTGCCCATTGTTTGCACCCTCCTCCATGTTTGTGTGTGTTCTTTTTAACTTCCCTGCACTCTCTGTACCTGCTGGGAGTCACTCTACAGCATACCTACCTCTTCAAACTGGTGAGGACAAATTCTAAGGCATCCAATAAAATAAAGACAATAAAGATAAAGGACCTAGCCCAGTGCAGTTGCTCTAATTCTTTTCCTCCTGTGCTCCTGTAAGGAGAAGATGAGATGAGATTTCAGGGTAAGAAAGAGATAGCATAAGACATTGGCCATCTGTGACCTGTGAACATGGAACACCCTCCTCGAGCTGTGGTCTGCAGAAGAAGGGGGAGTGCGCCAGGAGAGAAGAGAAGCTGGATAATATCGAGCTTCCTTCTTGCCCTTCTCTCCACAGGTCATAATGGGTGGACAGGGAAGGAGGGTAGCTAAGGTGATTCAGGTGATTCAGGGCAGTGGGATTTGATTAAATGCACCTTGGAAGAAAGAAGAGGCCAAATGTGAACTGAGATCTCAAGTGTAAAATGAAATTTCAGAGAATCAGGAAACAGGGGCACCAGGTTGACAAAGAGACGGGCAGGCGAGGCATCCACAGATACCCCGTGCTGCCCAGCTCCAGCTATGCTCATTCTGTGCACCTGCTCACCTGATAAATCGGTGCCAAATGAGGGATCCAGGAAACTTGGGGGAAAGTAACAATGAGATGAATCAACTCTGTTTATGGAGTCTTGGACTGGTCATCCTTAGGTGTTCTGGCTGATAACGTGAAATCCAAGGGGTGGCTGAGCCCTGGAGAAAAACTCTGTGTTAGGTCTCTACTACTCATTATATGTGATTGACACAACTAGCTGTCATTCCCTTCCAATTTAATTCAGTATGTGTCGTCCCACTGGTGTGTAAACTTCCCAGGGATAGGACCTTAATAACTGTCTTTGTTTCACTCGTCTTAATGTAATTCCTGGCATGGCATAAAATTCTCAGTAAGTATTTGTTGACTCAAGACAGGGCCCAATGCATGTTAACACATCTGCAGTAGTTTACCTATGACTTGTCCTCCAGGAAAATGAGTTAATGCCTTGTGCATTTTCTCAGGAGAGAAGAGAAACTGGATAATATCGAGCTTCCTTCCTGCCCTTCTCTCCACAGGTCATAATAGGTGGACAGGGAAGGAAGGTAGCTAAGCAGGAGGTCCCTATCCTCAGAAACTCACCAGAGACAACAGGAATGATCTTGTGCAATTTAGGAAACAGAGCATGATAGTATAATCCCTGCAGCATCAAGCAGATGCTAAGAGCGATTGCAGATTATTGTAAAACAAGTTTACAAAGGACATGAAAGTGGGACTAGTACTCTATAGACTTGAGAGACTGCTGTGTGTGTCAACCTCCTTGTTCCACAACAACTGGAAGGTTGTAGGAATTCAGATCACAGTGAACAAGTCCTGGGCCTCCAGACTTCTTTCAGTGAAGAGACCTCCTCAGTTTTACGATCCAAGGTTGTGTATCTGAGCATATTTTAGTTCTAATGTTTTGCTTTCATTAATTTTGTGCAGCACCAACTATTTAATGTTTCTCTTTAGCAGAGTTGCAGGGGGTCTTATATTCTGTCTGGGTGGCTGGCACTTGCCTTTCTTCTGCTTCTAGATAGGATGAGAATTTGATAAGCAGAGAAACCCTGGGGCAAGTCAGTAAAGATGGCCATTATCATTTATTAAGCAGGTGTTGAATGAATTGGTCTTTTTATCGTAATGCAGATTTACAGAGCAATAGGCAATCCATTTTTCAATTTGGTGTACTGCTTCTGATAAATTAACAGATGTCGATTGATTTTTTTCCCCTCCAGTCCCTGTTTACACCTGACAGGCCGTACTTTATAGCTGAACAGTTATTTGAAGTTATAAACATTATAATTAGCAATTTTTTAATTAGGCTGACAATTAACAGGAGATTTGCAAAGCTGCTAATTTGACATGTCATACTCTCTGTGGTGTTTATGTTAACCACAACTTGAGTGAATTCAATTGAACAGAACCACAGTGTCTGGAAAAAAAAAATCAGTCTCAGAAGGACCTTTCCTCCCCACTTGGCTGGCATTGTGACACTTTTGACAGAGGAGAGAAACTTCAGTGAGATTTTGCAGGATAACAGGACTGACAGCTGAACCTGAGACAAGAGAGGTTCCACGAAGACATTAGCTCAAGGTACACAACACAAAATCGCTTTCCATTAATTGCAGTTGAGGCTTGAGGCACACACTTCAAAGTCTTGGCAACCTAAGGCAGTTTGCGGCTTTGTTCTGATTCAAGGATGCTGCCTGAGAACAAAGCAACTCCTTAGACCTCCGGGCGCAGGCGACTTTCCCAAGACTGGCAACTGGCAGGGTTACCAGGACTGGTGTGGTCTTGTCAGTGAGGAGTTTTCTCAGTACCCTGTGTACTGTATTGAAATTGATAGAAGGAGAGAGGAGACAGACAGACATACAGACAGACAGACACACACACACACACACACACACACACACACACACACAGGGAAAGAGAGAAAGAGACAGAGTTTGAACCTCTGGATTTCTAGGAAACTTCCCAGATTTTCTCTCATCTCTCGGTGTTTTCCTATCAAAAGCCGCATTCCATTACAGCTCTCTGATTCTAGAATTCTAAAATGCTTCACTGGCTTGGTGGGCAGATTGCGTTTAAATTCTTTGCCATCTTCTGGGTTCTGTTACTTAGTAACAGCTTCCAGTCAAGGAGATGCCATGTTCTGTTGGGCCCCCAAGAGGTTCAAAGAAAGGAAATGTTCAGTCATTCGCAGTTTCCCAGGTAAGATGGACATTGAGGCTCATTATCGCCACAATCTGTCCGAGGCCAAGAGAATAGGAAAGAAATTACTTAAAATTTTTCAGTAAGAAGATGAGAAGTTGTTGCTTCTTTGGTGCTTTGAAAAAGAGGAAAATATTTTAAACATAAGAGAATATGGATTTTTCAAGCGTCGCGAGTTCTCCCTGGTTTTCTTTTCCCAAGGCTGAATCTCACTTCCTATTCTCCATGAGCAAGCTATTAATTAAAATTTGCAATTCTACCAGAAACCAATTTATTGAAGTTGAGATGTGCCATTGAGCTTTGATTAATAACTTCTTGTTGCTTTCATATTTTTTTTTGAAAATCTAGATCTGAAGAAATTTGACACCTGGAAATACTGATTCTGAAACTTTCTTTTTGAAATTTTCATGAATCTGCACACTTCTATGGTGTACGTTGCTAAAGAATATAATATTGTAGGTTTCAACATCACTAAATTAGTGAGAAAATCTAAGTTCCATGAGCACCTTTGTTTGAAAAAATTGAATGAACAGCATTGCTTTAGGAAATGAGTGTATCTGAATTCTTTTACCTTAAAGAAGCTAGCTTTTTAATATGTTTGCTTTGTTTTTCTCTGGCTTATCCTAATACCTCCATTTTACGTCATGGAAAACCTCCAGTTTGAGCAACAGAATAACTAAACCGTGAAAATAAGTTTAAGGTATCTCCTAATTATGATAAATGCATTCCCTTTTAAGATTATTAATTATGATTATTATAATTAATTTGGTGCTGCTGAGAGCACTGGCCTGATGAAGTTCCGTCCTAACACAGGCAAATTCCATACCCATCCCACAAGGTCAAGGGTCACATCTCCATGTCCTTGACCACAGTGAAGATGCCAATGTTAGGGAAAGACCTTTATTCAATAAGAGGTACAGTGTGTACAGGGCCAAATGCTTTATTATAATGAAGCACATGGTTTTATGTAATGAAATGTTCTGTCTCTCTTCCTCTCTCTCCTTCTCCAACTAGTAGGAAAGCCACACAATCTAATTTTCACACTTAAAAAACATCATGTAATATAGAATTTGCACCTTAAGAGGTTGAAAAGAGAAGTTTCTTTCTGTTTGAGGTTAGGAGGCATAGCAGAGGAATAAAATCAGACACAGATCCAGGGACGGAGCAGGTGGTGAAGAACAGAAAATGATGCTGTGAATCCTTAGGCCTGAGGACTTCTGGGACCCTCAGATAAGCAAAACTTGGTCTGAATACTCTGTTAACCCAAAGGGAATTATTTCAAAATTACTCTATGGGATCTTAATTGATACCCATATGGATGATGCTATGTTTTTTAAAAAAAAAAAAAGGATAATTATTATGTACTTACTGCTTTAAAATGCAATGAATTCAATTTTTTTAAATTCCAGAAATACATTATAAAATATGCCTACAATTATGTACAAACTTTATTCTTAAATGGGTTCATTTCATTATTCCAAAAATTAAATTTAGGCATTATTTTACCTCTATAAATTTCGATAAATGAGACATAAAATTGTGCATGTAATCACACCTTACAAACAAGAGTCATGGCTTACTTTTTAAAGCAAACTTTGTTGAAAGTCACTAATTTATAAACTCATGTGAAATGTACACATGAAAAGCACATCTCTTTCTTCCCTCTAGGAGATGATCTGACAACCACAATACTAACTGGGAACAGGGATTCCATTTGAAACAGTCAACACCTTGCCTGCCTCTGTACTGACCAGTTAGAAGGGCAACAGCTGTGAATTTGCTGCCAAAAGTCAGCTGGGCCCGTGAGGGAATTTTCTAATAAAAACTCATTCTCCAGCTTTCAATTGTTTTTCTTTTTTAATTCCACTTTTTCTAATGTGGCTTTCCATCTCCTCTCTAGAATCAATCAAAATGCTGAACTTTGACCCAGAGAATAGAATGCTAGAAAATAACAAAAGATTTCAGTGCCCTTGGCTGTGATGGTTCAACACACAGGACAGTGTTACTGGGGTTCTTTTAGAACGAGTGGCTAATAGATAGCAAATTAGTTATAATTGAGTGTATGCTGCAGAGGTGTTTACTGCCTACCTGTTAAGAATGTTTTCCTCTAATGGGTGCAATGAGCCTCACAGAAAACTCAGCCCAGGAGGGCAACATCTGGAGACCTCCCTGAAAATCTGCTTTTCTCTCTCTTCTAAACCTGCCTGGTCCCTTTGAATCCTGGGTTATCAAAAAGGTACCCACTTTCCATGACCTTGTGTTTGCAGTCAATTAAATGACAGTCCCCAGTTGTTCCAAGGTTTGTTTTTCAGGATGATGGATGGTCACAGTGGCATGGCCAGGCAGATATACTGCCCAACTCCCTGGAAACACCCCAGAGAGAAACTCCAAGAGAAAAGCAGTAATCTATGACCACTGCTCAAATGCCCCAACCTTCCCATCCCTTTCCAAAGACCTGAATTCTTGCATTGAAAAATAAAGATTCCTTCATCCCTCTGTTAGTCATCAGCTTTGATAGCTCCAGTTCCACTTGGAACTTAGCTTCACATTGTCACCAAATAAAGGACACAAGAAATAGAAATGCTAATTTTTTACCCCTTGTGGATCCATCAACATATTATTGCAACCAATGCAATCTCAGTGTTTCATTGTAAGTGACAAAAATGAACCCAGCAAGTGTCACCAGAGCCCCTGCCTGCCCACAGCAGAGGAGACAGTGAGGACTCAGGAAGAGATGTGTTGGATGGCAGGTACCCCTGCCATCTCTGAGCAAAGAGTTTGGGGCTGACCTGGCCGCAGGAATCTTCCTCAGGCAGCAGCATCATAATCAATGGCTCCGCGGCCACCTTTACCAAACAAGGCCTCAAACAAGTGCACTTCACTCTTGGAGGGCCCGAGCCACTTTGCAAGGTGTCAGGACAAAATGATAAATAGCTACCCTCAGAGAATGCATGTTTCAGAGGAAGCAGCAGAAGATGGCAGTGAACACGAAGGAGGGGCTGGGCAGTGCAAATCCTGGGGAAGCAAGGACACATTGGACACAAATGGGCAAGGCACTGCTGTAGCATGAACTACGAAGGCCATGAGGAAAGGGGAAGGAAGAGCAGGGATGACAGGAGGGGAAGGAAGAGCAGGGATGACAGGCAGTGAAGGTGGCCACAGCTTGCTGAGGGAGGACCATTTCAGTAGAGGAGGTCAGAGGGAAAGAATGTAAGCTCCCTGAGGCTGGCATGTTCCCAGAACAGTGTCCAGGCCAAGCACATGGCAAGGCAGGGCTGCTGGGGAAAACGAGGCAGAGGAGTTGGACTGGGTGGGAGAGGAGTTTGGAATGTTCACATAGGCATCATGGGACATGGTGAGGACTCGTGTGGCTTTTGTTCTGATCAGTGAGGCAACATGGAAGGCTGCGGCCCAGGAGAGGACCTAGACTGTGAAAGGATCAAGTTTTCATGCTAAGAACAGATGGTGTCTCAGTCTGTACCAGTGGCCCTAACAAAGTACCACAGAGGGGGTGACTAGTGGACAACAGAATTATTTCACATAGTCTGGAGGCTGAAGAGAGAGATCAAGGAGCCAGCTCCATCAGGTCCTGGTGAGGGTTCTCTTCCTAGATTGCAGAAGGCCAGTTCTCATGTCCTCACATGGAAAGAGGGCTACAGAGCTCTCTCTGTTCTCTTTCCTAAGGGGACTAATCCTGTTCACGGGGTTTCACCCAAATGACTTAATCACCACCCAAATGCCCCATTTCTTGATTCCATTGCCCAGAGGCCAGGATTTCAGGTCAAGAACTTGGAAGGATGGATGCTCAGGCCATAGCTGAGGACATGGGGCAGGTGGCAACAGGTGGGTGAGGGTCTGCTGTACACATCAGAGGAGACATAGATGGTGTCACAAGAGGAGGGCAATGTGGAGGGGAGGTTCTGCAATAGTCCAAAGCCAGACACTGCGATAGTCCAAAGCTAGTCTCTTGGTACATTGAGACTGAGGCAGGAGGGAAAGGGGAGAGTCAGCGGAACCCCAAGTTTCCAGTGCAACAAGAGGGAGCAGAGAGGGTCATTGTTGACCCAGGGAGGCTGGTGAGTGTGATTGGAATGGATTGGCATGGCCCCAAACACAGCAACCATGGGCTTCCAGAGCAGTAGCTGCCATTATGGCGGAGTTAAGTCCCTACCAGGGGAGGTGTGTGACTTGTATTCCAAGATCTGCTGGAGAACAATGAGGGTCTGATTTGAACCTCTTGAGATAAAGCCTGACATCTAAATCACAGGTATCCAGGAAGCCAGGTGTTATCATCAGGAGGGTATCAATTTACTTTTGTATTGATCTATTCATCTCGCCTCATTTTAAGTGGATTCAGTGTGGCCCAGGATACCTGGGCTGAGGCGTCAGCCATGGAAGCAGAGACTGGGAGCTGGAGGACAAAGGCGAGGAGCAGGGATGCAGATGGCAGTCAGGATCAGGTACTGAAGGGGCTGCAGGGTGCTTATTGGCTGCTAGACCAAGGCATGGTGTTACAATTTGGTTTTGTGAAGATTGGAAAGGTCAAAACAAAAATTAGGAAAAGCACCAGGAGAAGTCTCACAGTTACTGGGAGAAACATCCAAGCAGCAGGAAGCACAGCAGACAGGCACTGTGGTGTGGTCAGCTCTATGGAAGATGCAGGGATGTCTTTATCCAGCAGCCCTGGCAGCCTCTGCAGACTTCTTCAATATGCCGTCACACTGACCCCTGCCTGTGCTCCTCCTCCAGCACCAAGGGGTACCACACACCAGGCCCTTCAGTTACTTGCTGTTGACCAAAAACCACATAAATAAAAACCCCATGTAGAGAGGTTTAAAAAAAATCAATTCTTTACATTCAATTCAGTTTATCATTTATGGAGTTTCTATTACATCCACAGTGTTGGACCTGGTCCTGAATTCAGAGAAATTTAAGAGCATTTTGGAGATGAGACCAAACTTGCTGAGCACCAATCCTTAGACCCTCATTGCCCTGTAGACAGAAAAGGGCAGGTGAACACCACGGACAAAGATTGAGAGTGACAGTCTTTTCTGTGCTCCCTCCTCCACAGGCCCCTACCCTATGGCTCCTTTTGCATCTCAGGAGAAGACTGTGTGGGCTCTTCTCCCTGCTGCCTCCCCAGATAGTGGCCAACTGTGAACGCAGGGCCAAGCAGGGCCTGCTTCCCACTCCCCTCTTCCTCATTGTCTCTCTCTAGACCAAGAAATTGCTCCAGCCTTTTCCCTGGACAGCTGGACTCCCCTGAAAAGTGCTAGGACATGTGATGTGGCCTCACAGGGGCTCAGCCAACCTTTCGCATGGGGAACCTTAAGGTGGCATTTCCAAGAATGCTGGGATTGAGGGACTGGAACAGGGATTGTCACCTCCGACCACAGGAAGGGGAGGTCTCTGTTGTCTGAGATTGGGCAGCATTTTATAGAAGACACTGATCTTGAAAGATGGGCCAAGAAGCCCAGCAAACATGTGAAGGGAAGATGATCTCTGTTGTATACAGATCCATAAATCACCAGTATTGATTGATCGATTTGTCGAATGCAAGACCAAGACTTCAGGGGAAGGTAGGAGGGGGTTTGTTTATAGTAAAAGTTCATGGTCAAGTTTAGCAACATCTAATCTTCAACCAAAATAGATAATTAATGTATTTTGTTGGTGATGCTGTCCAGTACTAACAAAGCCAGTCTTTTTGTGGTTTGGTTTCATGAGGACAGAAAAGGTCGAGACAAAACCAAGAATAGAGACAGTACCACACCAGGAAATACAGTAATAAGAAAAAAAGTAATAAACAGCAATGCTATCAAGAAATGACACTGTCCATATACTTAAAGGGCCCATCTCTGTTGAAGAAAGTATCACCATGGTGTATGAATTACCTACTTGTTACCTGGAGGAGGTTTCTCTTTGTCCTGTGAGAATAGATGTCAGGGAAGAGGAGAGAATTGAGGTCTGGGAATGAAGGTGGGTGTCCAAGGGAGGGCAGTCTGTCCTCTGGTTTTCCTGAGTGGAGCTGACCTGACAGGGACACCGGATGAATTAAATGGGAGGGGCTCTGGAAATTATTCTGGTCATTGCTGCATCCCTAGAGAGCCCAGCTCTCAGTAGAGTGCCCAGTGCATGCTCTCATTGAAAATCCAGACTCAAGCAGCCTGGTTGAGTTAGTACACACACACACACACACACACACACACACACACACACACTCACACACAGTGGGAAGCACTTTTCAGAGCCAGGACTAAAGACAAGATGCAGCCCTATCCAGAGTCAACAGGCACAGGGCAGAGATTTGATTTTCATACTATGTGACCACCCAGAACATCACAGGCATGAGGCAGCCAGTCAGAACTCATCCCAATTAGTTAAACACAATGATCAGAATCACAAAGAGCAATGCACATGCTATCCTGTTTGAGGAACCCCAAGGGTTTCAGTAGAGCTGGTGAGGCCCACTCCTTGTTTTTAAAACCATGATATTTATAACATACTTTAAATTTTTTTTCACTTTCCATTTGTTCCTTAGCTTGCATTTTTTTAATCTTTATTTTTCTTAACTCTTTCTCTCAAAAATTGAGGTTTTTCAGCTGATCTGTTTTCTAAGATGGCATGGAATCTGTAAATGATTGAAAGAGAGGAGAGAGCAGTCTGTCCCCAGCCAGGCTCCCGCTGGGAAACCGAGTCATGTTTAGGTGAGAAGTCCCTTTGAGTCAGGCATCAGCAGTCCTGTGTGAACCATTTTCCAAGACACCCTCAGTAGGTCCTGGCAGCCCCCACTCCTCTCTAGATCAACAGGCTTCTGGATCCACCAAGCTCCAGGACACAT